CTTATAGTCCTTGTTGAGACCTTTTCAAAACACTATAATTTTATCCATTTTAGGTCAGCCGTTTAGAAGTTATTGAGCATTTTATGGTGAAATGTCAGCAACTTTAGGTGAATCAAACACGAAAACTGTTCATTTTTTTTCGCTAAAACTTATAAGTTTTGTTCAGCAGGTCATAAGCTATAACATATGAGAAAACCATTTGATTTAACTGAAATCCAATTTCATATAGGATTAGTGCGGGGTCCTTTAACGCATGGTACTGTGACCCTTTTCTTGGCTTGGAAAACCAAACAGAGGCTTAAGAAGAACAATATTCTGACTTCTGTATAAGCCCATATTTAAAAAATATTAGCCTCATGGTTATTAATACATTAATTATGCAGAGATCAGCGATAAGTATAAAAGTAGGCGCCCATATAGCGATGAATAAGGTCTTCATGCGCGACAAGATCGTCACGTACGAGCCAGCTTATTCGTTAACTATTAATCGTCACGCGCTGCATTCGGCTGATAGTCAGCGAAAAAAATACACTACTTATTGACGTTGCATGTGACGATCAGAAACTATCAACGCGCCGCGTTACGATTATCATGATCACATAACAAGCACGCGAGCTTTATCAACTCACACCCTCAGACTGGTAACGCGATTAATAATCTTCTATCTTCCTCCTCCATCGAATTTATGATTATTATAATTCTTAATGATTATTATAGAATATCTATAATAATCACCAAAATACAGTTAAAATCAATCGTGATAAAACATTTTTAATTAAAAACGTTAATAATGTGCAGGACCGCGCATATCTCTTTCCTATCTTGGAAACAATATTTTATTTTAAAAAATCACTGTTTCTCTGATTAAATTTAAAAATAATTAAAATAACTAAACAGGGTTGAACTATTTTACGATAATAAAAAAGATTGAGTCATTAATAAAGTGCGTACCATGTCGACGGTGACTTCTCCGACTTTGGTGGATCCATGATCCTTACGGAAGGCTTTGACTCGCTCCTGTTCCTTCGGGATCCTGTCAGTCAGAACCCTTTTAAGATCCGTAGATGCATCGGTGAGCTGTCGTACGAAGACTGCCGACGTTATTTTCTGAAAGGAAAAGAATTATAATTAATAGCTGCTGGGAATAATGAAAAACGCAGAATTTAGCAAAAGCTAGTAATCTCAGGAATAAATACAGACGAAAGTTGTTCGAACGTATATCAAAATCAACCCTTCAAAGTACACGCAATAATTTTCCGATCTCTCACTACACACTATGAGTCGTTTGTGTCCTCGATTAATTTTTATCACTTTTACAAGTACACAAAAATTATTAAATAATTATAAATATTATTAAGTAACCATACATATATTTTAACATATTTAGAAAGTAAAAGTTGCTTGTTTAAAAAAATTAAAGAATAGAAACCATTATTTAGCCAAGATCGAACTCCTAGTATTATTTCCAAGAAATGCAAGACGCGAATGACTCCAATCGTGTATATTCAGGACTAAATAGGGCAAAAATTATAAATTATATTATATTCTGTATAATTATACTATAGAGTTAAACAAAAAAAATGGTCTCATCGTTTTTCAATAGACGACTTTTGTAAGCATAATTTGATTATATGTATTCAATAAGAATACATTCAAACAGAACGAAACTTGAAAGAAGTGGTAGGAAAAAAAAATACTTTATGAATGAGATTTTATACGTTTAAAACTTGTCTTTCAATTCCTCTAGAAAAGAAAAAAAAGCAACGCAAAAAATTCTTATCTAATCCTCAATAAATTAAATTATACAATTTCTACAATTTTTATCCTCTATGTCAAATATTTAAAAGTTGACATTTAAAATAAACGCACCTTTACTCGATTTTTTTCCCAAGTTAATTTCTAAACTACAAACTTCTGGCCATTTGTTTTCCGTTTTCGCTTCTCTTGCGAAACATCCTACGCGTGACGTACGTATTGTGTGGCAAATTGTCACGGTGGAAGACACATGTGGGTTACGTAAAAGTGACAAACTGCTAACTATTGTCAATAATGTACGCAAATGTTCGTTGGGTTAATAAATTCGCATTGAAAAACTATAATTTCATAATGCTATAAGGACAGAAAACAGATCCCAAGATAACAATTTTTTTATGCAACTGTCTCGTGTAATTCATAAAATTCACAACATATGATTATAACATTTTAGTGACAGATTTATGCCTAAATTCTAAACAAAAGGCTCGTAATACATTTCTGTAAGAATTGTAAGAATTTTTAAGTGCTTATATATCTTTATACAATATTTTTACAGACAGCTTCTTACTAGCTATAAAATTTACAAGAAATTTACAAGAAATAGTTATTTACGAATAATCGTACGTCTTACATATATAAAATTAAAATACTAGCCATAAGTTCTTTCAAGTTTTACGAGAACGCGTTGCGAGTCTTACGATTCTACTTATAATTGACCCATTAATACTTTACTTTAAGGAAGATGTTATTGATATTTTTATACATCTATTTGTGTCTGAGAATGGGAATGTAATAGAATGAACATGACAAAAATGACACGAGATTGATTTATTGATATTCTCATTTATATTCGTCCCTAAAAATAAAAATTTATGAAGAATCAGAATTATTAAAAAATAATTTTCAAAATGTTTTTTAAATTTTCATTCGATTATATCGATCGTCATTTGAATCTAAATTTTGAAGACGAAGCATGCAATACTTATATTTATACGCGAAATATTACGAAAGAATTACGTTATCCCTTGTGAAACTCATAATCGCTTCTTGCATGTGACGAAGCATAAAAAAATCCGTAATCGTTTCTCATCTCGACACGCATCATCGAACATCATAAGATACGTTAGATAAGAACAAGATCACGAGGTCTCGAGGTCATTATCAAACATTATCACATGCGTGCCGTTCACGGAAACGCATTGGGGGAGAGAATTAATTCTTCACTCATTCGTATATCTCTATGAAGGATAAGTATTTATTATTATCTTTAACATGATAAATGTCTCAAATTAGACCAAATCAATTTTGACCGAATTTTGGAGTTGAAACAAGCTTCAAGATTCGCTCCGCGCGATCTCGGAATCGCGACTGCAATAAGAATAACCGGCTGTAATCTTCATGATAACGACAAATAAAAGTAATGGTGGCAAAGATAATGGTAAGAATTGCAGTTACACGGAGAAAATTTTATATTTAAAATTACTATGATGTGGTAGTAGCTGCGGTTTTCATGTAAATTATAAGTTTAAATGCTATATAGTTATTTTTTTAAAAACAATAATATAACGTAATTTTTACACTTTTTCATAGTAAAAATTTTTTATTACAAAATCAAATATATTTAGCAAATTTTGTTTGCGTACCATAGTAAAAATTAACTATTTTCATGTTAGAATATGGCTTAACAAAATAATTTCTTTTTTTTTATTTATGTGATCAAAATTAGTATTACCATAGTAAAAGTTAAGTCGGAATCATGTTGTGAGAGTCCATCGAAATACAAGACATAGGAAAGTGTAATTTAAAATATTGTATTAAAACTTAATATAAAATTTTCTCTGTGTATAGGCGATGAGGACAATATGCGACGAAAATATTTAGGCTCTTAAACGAGAAAAGGAAGATCAGCTCAATATAATCGCCAATGTGTGCAAGCACACTGGCGGGCCACGTGACTACGAATTATGAATTACAGTAATTACACGTTCGTCAGATACGCAGATAAGAGAGAAGTTGCTTAATTCTCTTTTTTTCCCTGTCGAGCGAAGTGAAAGTCGCGTGATGTGTACATACATATACAACATACATCCGGAGACCGCTTATCTTTGCATTGGATGTATTATAGCAGAGAAGGAGAATTCCTTCTGAGGGGCACAGATACGTGATGTGGCATTTCGCGAAACAGTTAAGGCGAGGTAAAGAGCGAAGTCCAAATGAAAATGTCGACAAGTCACAATAAACTGAAAATAATGGGTCAATTAGAATCTCAATTCGACAAATTTGTAGATATTTTAATCGATTAAAAGATTCGACTCTAAATTCTTTGGAGTAGAATCTCATTCTAAAGAATGAAAATTGAAAATGTTTTCTATGTAAGTTTTATTGATTAATTTTAATTTAGTTCCTTTTTAACATTTAATATTTTATAAATTGACTAATTTATTATAGCTTTTTTTTTATTTTTAATCGACTTAATTTGCTTTTTAATTATCATTGGGTAATTTATACTTTGACTAAGATTGTTCCAATTCCTCTTCGCTTGACAATAAAAAGATTCGATGATCAATCATCAAAAAAGATGACCAATGACGCTATACATAAAAAAGGATTTCAACTTGTAATTATAAATCATCCTCAGAGTATGTACAACACCATATAGTTATTGCAACAAGTTCAAGCATGTATAACTGTCACATTTATCACGATATTAATATAAATTGATCTATGTATCATTAATGTATATCTAACTTTTCCACCGAAATTGCTGAAGAAGGACTCGTGGTTCCGAAACGTACATTGTTTTTATTGTTCTTATGGAATAAATGACGAAATATTATTTATAACTTTTTTATATGCTCGATTATTGGCCGTTCTTATTATAATTTTGCAATAAAAATTGAGCCAGTCTTGAAAAAGATTGGTTCAATTTTTAATCTTAAGGCCAGTATTCATAGTCCGTTCATTTAAGATCGTCTAAGTAATGGTTGCGTTCAGCAGAAAAACCAGCTTTGCAGCTGTTGTAAAGTTCTTTAATATAAATAGTTTTGCCCTTGATTCCTCACTGGATCAAAATGTGTGTATAAAGTTATTATGTTCAAGAATTTTACAATTATGCAAAGATGCTTTTTGCGCTGAACGCAGCCAATGTCTTAAGATGCTAATGCAATTCTCTGATTGATTTAAGATATCTTAAAATAGGCTTAAAAATAAGTATCGGTTATAAATACCGATTTAAGAGTGAGATTGTACTTTTCACAGTTTCAGAGGAAAAATTGTTAATTACAATTAATGAGTATTTTTATATCTTCAATTCACAAAAAACAATGTAAGAAATCTCTGTTACGCTTTTTAATAACATTATATCTGAAATGTTGGAGCTTGTAATAAAACAAGGTATTTAAGTAATCAGTTCACTAGAAAAAAAAGAATAAAAAAAGCTTCTGTAAAACTGGACTTTATACCTTTGTTTATCTCTGACGTCGACAGACAATAATTATTAATCAATTTATTAATTACTAATTGTTTTTCCTTATAATATCGTTGAGTGACTTATCAAAACTTATGATGCGGTAAGACGTCGGTAGTCTAGTTTAAAAGTTAAACTGTCAGACTAGAAGTCTATAAAGATTGTCGACATGCATTTTCCTTCGGGGCAAATTCTTAGAAAGCCATAAATTACATTTTTATCAATAATAATTTGCGTTTCTATCTTCCTTTCAAAATAATTATGACGGTGCAAAACAATTATCCGACGAAGTAGTATTACATAGCAAAATATGTTGCCAAGACAAACAGAATATTGACAAAGTCATTTATTTTAAAAAAATAAGTTACACGAAGGAATGTTCACAAATGCAAATATACGTTAACAAAGATAAGAAGTCAAAAAAAGAAACGATTCAGGATAACACATAGGTAAAAAGTACAGAAAAAACAACGTAACACAAGACAATATATCGAGACTGGAATGCAAAATTTCGTGGAATATTTGAACGAGTTTAAATTAAAAATATAACATTATGTTATTTGTATATAATTTTTATATTATATAATATCATAATTATAGATAAGTAATGCAATAAATTAATATATTATGTTATATAATTGTAATCATTATAATTATTATATAACATTGTATATATATTATATAATAATTTTAATACGTTCAAATCCAAAAATTAAAACGCTTAGATTAAAGATTGTATCAAAGAAGAAACGAAATACATTACACATTATGTCGCGTATAATTGCCACAGTGCACCTTCAAATTCAAGAGGCTCAAAGATCGTTTCTCATCGCACGCTCTTATCATCATGTCACCGATAGCGCATGTTCCACGCAATTTTTTAATC